GCACTTTGAGGTGGTAATTAAAAATAAAGCAAAGAGAGGTGTTGAGGTCTGTGTCCATGTATGTTACTGGATGGAACTGTGAGAAGGGTGAATTGTGGATCAGACCACATTCCAACTGCTAGTAGGCTAATGTTGTGGCTGTCTGGACTGACCATGACTACAGTTGTAGAAGCCCCAATCTACAGTTGATTTCTGGTGTGTAGAGCTGGCAGCTGCCTTTCAGTGGAAAACAACCCTGAAAAAAATCTGCTGACCCTATGAACAAGAGCACTGCCCTCACCTCACACTCTGGAAAGTGGCCATGAGTGCAGACTGTTACTCCTCACAGAGCTCTCTGGTGTGAGAAAGATCACAGAAGCAGGAGATGCGCTACTGGAGGAGTGCACAGCAATGAAGCAGGTGCTGCTGACCTAGGGAATCAAGGTTACTAATGTCTCTGAAATAATGGAAGGCTTGGAATAATCTTGAGGTTTCCTAAGACATGCTGGAACAAGTGATGAAACTCACATCTCAGTTCTTTGCCCCTCCTCAATAGGTCATGGAGTTCTACCACCATAAGTCATACGGCCTGTCGTGGATCACAGAAGTCCCTTAATGGATGTAAGCCTGGCAAGATTCATGATGCTAAAATATTAGAGAATTCCGGAGTGTACAGGAAGAGACAGGTGGGGTCACTGTTCCAGCAACAGCGAAAGAATGGTGCATCTGCTAACTCTCTGGAACTCTGCCATCCTTTGTGGCACTGGTTGATGAAACTGTGCCTCAAATTATGAGGCTGTTGTTGATTTTCGCTATTGCCTCAGCTGCCCGGTGATAGTGGCTAATTGTGGTCTTTGGGAGATCAAGATGCCTACTGATGTAAAATTACACACCTCTTGAAGTTTTTTTAGTGTTGTTTCAAAGAAGCAGCAGCAATTTCTTCTTGATCTTATCACTAAAATATATATCTAGTTCTTTTTTGAACCCTGTTATAGTCTTGGCCTTCACAACACCCTCTGGCAAAGAGTTCCGCAGGCTGACGGTGTGTTGTGTGAAGAAATACTTCCTTTTGTTTGTTTTAAACTTGCTGCCTATTAATTTCATTAGGTGACCCCCTGGTTCTTGAGTTATGAAAGAGTAAAATAACGCTTACTTATTCACTTTCTCCACACCAGTCAAAATTTTATAGCCTTCTATCATATCCCCTTTTGTATAGACCTTGATCATGTCGCAGTGGCCCTACCCTCTTCACTCTCACTATCAGTGATGTGAATGAAAATTCTGTTTCCAGAGTTTTCCAGACTTTGGGGAAATTTGGAGCTGAACTTTGTGGATTGGGCTCACTTCTAGTTCTCATGCTTGAGGTCTTGAACTGCATGCTGTTCATGTCATATATATTAAAATAAACAAGGAAAAGGGTTGCTGGGTAAAAGAGAACACAAGAAAAGTAAGAGGCACAAAGGGTGGCTTAGGAAAGAGGGACAGGACTCTTCAACTCTTCTGTTGTCAGATTTGTTGTGCAATTTTTAAATGAGAGCATTATTAGGGGTGCCTTTTCAGATTTTGGTAAGGAGGGCAACTTTAACCGTGATTCCAGAGGCTGCTTAGGCAATTTAAAACAACAATTGAAATAATTGTAGAATAATGTAGATTACTTTCCATCATTTAGGCTACTTTCTTTTTGCAGGTTTCAGAGTAACAGCCGTGTTAGTCTGTATTCGCAAAAAGAAAAGGAGTACTTGTGGCACCTTAGAGACTAACCAATTTATTTGAGCATGAGCTTTCGTGAGCTACAGCTCACTTCATCGGGATGCATACCGTGGAAACTGCAGCAGACTTTATATATACACAGAGAATATGAAACAATACCTCCTCCCACCCCACTGTCCTGCTGGTAATAGCTTATCTAAAGTGATCATTTGGATGGGCTATCACCAGCAGGAGAGTGAATTTGTGTGGGGGGGTGGAGGGTGAGAAAACCTGGATTTGTGCTGGAAATGGCCCACCTGATGATCACTTTAGATAAGCTATTACCAGCAGGACAGTGGGGTGGGAGGAGGTATTGTTTCATATTCTCTGTGTATATATAAAGTCTGCTGCAGTTTCCACGGTATGCATCCGATGAAGTGAGCTGTAGCTCACGAAAGCTCATGCTCAAATAAATTGGTTAGTCTCTAAGGTGCCACAAGTACTCCTTTTCTTTTTTTCTTTTTGCAGTTCATCAAGCTTGGAATAGAACATTAAATTTTTGGAAACATCCTACTAAGGCAAGATCTCATGAGTTTATACTGCACCTGCCTGGGACTCTAGGGGTGTTACCATACTACAAATAATAGACTAGAAAGTGACTTTAAACAGGAGTGAAACTGATACTTTCAAGTTAATTTCACAGTATTACCAACCCCAAATGTTCAGAAATAATGAGATTGGCTTAAAAATCATGAGATTATGTAAAAGTAATAGATTTGGTGTTCTTTTTATTTGCCACCTGCTTTTTGAGCCTTTAGGGTGCACTGGTATTACATTTTGAAGCTTTCTCCACAGCCACAAAGGTTAGACACTTACTTTTTCTTTGAGAATGAAGGCTGAAATCATCACATATCCACTTGACTCCAAGAGTTGTGGCTTTAAGGAAAGTAATAATTATCATTGGACTCATGACAAAATCATGAGAGTTGGCAACTCAGCTTTCCTTCTGTTTAAAGACTGTTTCTTTCCGGAAGGCTTTTAAGAAAAACATTAGAGTGATCGAGTTACAGTTCTCAAAGGACCAAACCGAACACCAAGAAAATTCCACATTTTAAAGCTGAGAAAAAATGGAGTCTTCTGAGGTAGATCAGGGCACTGCAAACAGGAAAGGAAAATAAACAGGCACAGGGGCTCTGGGCAGCTCTTTCTCTTGGAAAAAAAAGTTGGGTCAACTATTCCAGTCCTTAATCAGGTAAAACTTCTATTGCTGTCAGTGCCTCCACTCAAAGATATTAACATGTGTTCAATAATTATACACCTAATACTTAAATATCTTGAGCCATCTTATCCAGGGCTACACATTTTGTAAGCACTGGCTCAGGGACTATATTTTCTGGCACATTGTGAACAGTGCTGAGCACACCCATGGTGTCAGTGAATAAGAACATAAGAATGGCCTTACGGCGTCAGATCAATTGTCCATCCAGCCGAGAGTCCTGTCTTCCGACAGTGGCCAATGCCCAGTGCTTCAGAGGGAATGAACAGAACAAGTAATCATCAAGTGATCCAGCCCCTGTTGCCCATTCCCAGCTTCTGGCAAACAGGGGCTAGAGATACAATATCATGAATAATACAAATCATGACAATAATCATCGACTTTATGGACTCTGTGGATGCAATTTCAGTTCTTTGTTCTGGAATTGGCCTGAATACAGCTGAATATAGGTGCTGACTTCCTCTCTGCACTGTGGAAGTCACACCCCCCGAGCCCTTCCCCCAAGGCTCCACCCCTGCCCCACTTCTTCCCGCTCCTGCTGTGCCTCTTCCTGACCCTTCTTCAGTCCTCTGCCTCCCACCCAGTGCCTCCTGCACACCATGGAACAGCTATTCTGTGGTGTGCAGAAGGCTTTGGAAGGGAGGGGGAGGAATTGATTAGCGGGGCCACCGCCAGGCAGGAGGCACTGGGGGAGGGGGTGAGATTGGCTGCTGGTGGGTGCTAAGTACCTGCTAGTTGTTTTTTTCTTCTGTGGGTGCTCCAGCCTGGAGTCAGTGCCAGCTGAAAGCCTAAGGATTTGATATACAATCATATGTGATACTTATACGACACTTTCTCATTCCTTCCTTTCCTCAACCTCAGAACAAAAAATGACAGAACAAAATGGTTTTCAGTTAAAATATAACATTTCACAGCAGCCGTTGTTCTACAGCCCACCATGGGGTAGAACCTGCCACCCTCTGGGGGTTAAGTGATCTCCTCTCATCTGACTCTCATTATCTCTCTTCATCCTTCCTGACCTGCTTTTCATGCTGTCAAGTGACATCCTTCCCAATTGCCTGGAACCATTTGCTGGAGTCTCAGAGAACTGGCCACCTTGGTTTTGCTGTCATCTATCAGAGTCTTTTTTTGCAGCATGCAGCAGAGAGAGAGGCTGGTGCATGGAATAGGGTCTGAGACCTGGGTTCTACTCCACGCATGGACTTCTTGTATGACTTCAGGCCCCTGCCTTAGGGACAGAGTTTCAAAGGTTTTAGGCACCCAAAGATACAGTGAGGCAGCTAGTGGGGTTTACAAAGAACCTAAACTTCTGGGTGCTTTTGAAAATCCCACTAGGTGCCTCAATACCTTTGAAAAGCTGGCCTTTAGTCTGTTCACCTCAGTGCCCTAGCTTTACAATGGGGATAACAGCAGTGCTCTACCTCACAGAGGGGGTGTGAGGAGAAATATTCAGACATTGTGAGGGATACAAGATACTACGGTGATGGGTCCACATAAGTACCACAGGCAGAAGGGGAACTTCTCTATACCACTGCTATCCCTTCCCTGGGTTTTGGCCCTGTCTTTTCCCCCCTCCCCCTCACATCTCCCTCTTTTCTGATGGGACTTTGGCTCAGAGTGCTTGGCTGTATTTCTTCTAAATCCCCTGAGTTCCCTGTTCAACACCCCCCCAGAGGAATCCCTGTTTTACAGGCTCATCTAAGGATTTCCAGATCCTTAATTTAATTACCAGCCCTTTCTTATCTTAAAATCACCCTGCCCCTGGGCAGGAGCTGAGACCAGCCCCTCTCTCCTGATGAACTCACATTGCACACTCAGGCTGCGGGGCAGCTAAGAAGAGCTGGGGGGGCTGTTGCAGAAGGAAACCTGGTTCCCCTTTTGTGTAGCTGTATTTCGAGTCGCCTCCCAGCCTCGTCCACGCCTGGAGCAGGGGGATGCGCTCGGACACCTTTCGCTCCCGGGGAGAAGCGCCCGCGTAGCCCAGCCCCACAAGGACCCCAGCCGTGCGAACTCTCTGGGCGCGGGCCTCCTCCCGCCAGTCCCGTGTGCGCTCCTGCACCGCCCCTTCCCCAGCCGCTGCTCCCGGGGCTGCGGACTCTCCCGCCTCCCGCTCCCCGTCCGTTCTTCCCGCCGCTTCTCGACGCGGCGCTGCTGCTGGAGCGGGCGCCCTGGCAGCGGGGAGGCGCAGCTCCTCGGTGGATGCAGGAGACGGGAGCCGAGGGCTCCGGCGGGGCGGGCAGCGCCGATCTGCTGCCGTTGCGTTGCCGGTGAGGGCTGGTCTCCAGCCCAGGCCCCAGCTGCGCTCCGCCGGCGATGCTCCCGCCGCAGGTGCACCGCAGCAGCTCGGGGCGTGCCCAGAGGCGGCGGGAAGGGACGAAGGTAGGGGGCAGAGACTTTCCGTGGGAGCAAGTTGGTGACCCAGGAGCGGCAGCTTGCGCGCATCGCGCTCGGGGAAAGGGGGTTTGACCCCCGCCCATTCCCTCCGCCATCTCTCCGGGCTCGCCCGCCTGCTGCCTGCAGAGGGAGCTCCCCGGGGGCAGGTGCCCGCCGGGACTCTGCACCGAGCCAGCCTCCCTTGCCCCCCCCAGCGGCAGCGCCGCCGCTACAGAGCGGGGCTGCCCCCACTGCCCCGGCCACGTGAGGAGCCGCTGTAGCTGGGGCTGGTGCCCGGGCTGGCGGTAGCACCCCTAGCCTTGCCCCTCTGTGTGTGTGTGTGTGTGTGTATGGGGGGAGTGTTAGGGGGCGAGGGCTAGGGCGTGAGGCAGGGCTAGAGCGAGCGCTCCGCCTCCCAGCTCAGCTGGATGAACAGAGTTGCCACCAGCAGCTCTTGGTTGCCTCGGCAGTGGCGGGGGCTGCTGCCAGAACAAGCCTCTTGGCCGAGATGATTTCCCGGTAAGTGCATTTCTTAATGGTCGTTCCGAGGCGGATGCGACGGGAGCGTCGCTTTCTGAGCGGCTGGGGAAGGAACACGAAGAGTAGGAATCCGATATCGAAGCGGGGGAAAGGTAATCCGGTGGCAAAGCGAGGTCCTCGCTGAGATCTACCTTGACTTAAAGACACACGAGTAACCGAGACGAAAGGCTGTTCTGTCTTTTCTCTCTGTGTTTAGTGAGTGCTAATCAGAGTGATATTGGCACGTGTGGATGAGGAGACTGTCTTTTCAAATGATTGCGCTGAGCTCTGCTTGTCTGGTAAATTAGAGAGGTGTTTCTCTTCTACCCTGGGCTACAACAACGCTGCAGTAAATTGAAGATCCACGTCTCTGGATCGTTGCAAGTTTGGGTCATTACTGTGGAGAATTTAAACATACCCATTCCCCCTTTCAGTTGGTAAAAGGCTAGAGAATTTATTGTGGATCAAATTATTGTTCCGGGGGGGGGAGTACGGGGGGAATCTAAGAATTCGTAGTAATACAGACCTATGGGACAACCTTTCCCCCTCTAATATAAAATTGCTCTATAAATTGGAAGTGGTTGGCTGTAACCATCCTATTTTTATTTATGCTATTTATCTCTTACAGTGTTCTGTAAAAGGGGAGAGGAGGGAGAGAGTGAACTAATTGCTATTGTTTAGCATCATGGTGTGTTTCCAGTGGGTTCCCACTGGGTTTTGTGTTTGGCTCTATGCTTTTAAACATTTTTATCAATGACTTGGAAGAAAAACAATAAAACCGTTATTGATGAAGTTTGTTGATGACACATACATTGGAGGAGTGGTAAATATTGAATTGGGCAGGTCATTGATGCAGTGGGATCTGGCTTGCTTGGTAAACTCTGTGTAAGCAAACAATACACATTTCAAGACAACCAAATGTTAAGACCTATATCTAAAAACAAAGAATGCAAGCCATGCTCATGGGATGGGGAACTGTATCCTAGGAAGCAATGACTCAGAAAAGGACTTGGGGCAATGATGTTCAAGATTGCCCCCCATCCCTCCCAAACAAGTAGTTCAATTTGGACTAACTCTTTCAAAGTTTTGCTAGTCAGTTTCTAGCTTTTTATGTTTGAGCGGATATGACCCCAAATTGCAATTCAATCTGTGTGGGCAGACCTTTGTTCCTGTGGGGTGCACAACTGACTGCAATGGAGTTCTGTGGAGTGCAAGGGTCCATGTGCAAGGATCTGATTTCAGGATTGTGGAGTGTATGTGTGTGTGTCCGTAGCTATTATAGAATAATAGAATATTAGGGTTGGTAGAGACCTCAGGAGGTTATCTAGTCCAATCCCCTGCTCAAAGAAGGACCAACACCAACTAAATCATCCCAGACAGGGCTTTGTCAAGCTGAGCCTTAAAAACCTCTAAGGAAGGAGATTCCACCACCTCCCTAGGTAACTCGGTCCAGTGCATCACCACCCTCCTTGTGAGATAGAGTTTCCTAATATCCAACCTAGACCTTCCCCACTGCAACTTGAGACCATTGCTCCTTGTTCGGGCATCTGCCACCACTGAGAACAGCCTAGCTCCATCCTCCTTGGAACCCCCCTTCAGGTAGTTGAAGGCTGCTATCAAATCCCCCCTCACTCTTCTCTTCTGCAGACTAAATAAGACCAGTCCCCTCAGCCTCTCCTCATAAGTCATGTGCCCCAGCCCCCTAATCATTTTTGTTGCCCTCTGCTGGACTCTCTCCAGTTTCTCCACATCCTTTCTGTAGTGGGGGGCCCAAAACTGGATGCAATACTACAGGTGTCGCCCCACCAGTGCCAAATAGAGGGGAATAATCACTTCCCTCGATCTGCTGGCAATGCTCCTACTAACACAGCCCAATATGCCGCTGGCCTTTTTGGCAACAAGAGCACAGTGCTGACTCATATCCAGCTTCTCGTCCACTGTAATCCCCAGGTCCTTTTCTGCAGAACTGTTGCTTAGCCTGTTGGTCCCCAGGCTGTAGCAGTGTATGGGATTCTTCCTTCCTAAGTGCAGGACTCTGCACTTGTCCTTGTTGAACCTCATCAGATTTCTTTTGGTCCAATCCTCCAATTTGTCTAGGTCACTCTGGATCCTATCCCTACCCTCCAGGGTATTTACCTCTTCCCCCCCAGCTTAGTGTCATCTGTGAACTTGCTGAGGGTACAATTCATCCCATCATCCAGATCATTAATAAAGATGTTGAACAAAACCGGCTGCAGGACCGACCCCTGGGGCACTCCGCTTGATACTGGCTGCCAGCTAGACATTGAGCCATTGGTCACTACTCGTTGAGCCCGACAATCTGGCCAGCTTTCTCTCCACCTTATAGTCCATTCATTCAATCCATACTTTTTTAACTTTCTGGCAAGAATACTGTGGGAGACTGTATCAAAAGCTTTGCTAAAGTCAAGATATATCACATCCACCAGATTCCCCATATCCCCATAATATTATACACAATATTAGTATTTATATGTATATTGCTCAAATAAGAAAAAATCACTTTTTATGAATCTGGTTACAAAAACTGAGGAAGAGCTTTCTACATTTTGAATATTTGTGTCTTGTTCGTTTATTGATGTACTTTAGTTTTTAAGGATTTCAACATGTTTACTTTGCCTTCTAAATCAATTATCAGTTTTCAAATATGCAGCTCTTTGAGGGGGATTATTCTTCACCAGTCTTGTTCTTGATGATAAAGCTTACTACAAAAGTTTCTTCTATTTTTTATTTTTTGGCTGACGATACATTATTAGAGAGGAACGAAGAATGTAACCAGTTACAAATGATCTTATTTAATGAATTAAGGTCTGATCCTGCAAACAAGATGCACATGAGTAACTTGTGAGTAGTTCTATTGAGTTCAAGATGTTGGGTTCAGTTAGGCTATGTTTCTGAATAAAGTAACTCATTTGCGTGAGTATTTAAGGCTTGAGCTCTAATTAGATAGAACTGGATTTACTTGATCTTCAAGTAAGCATGTTTTTAACTTTAAAGTGCTTGTCTCTTCTGCAGAATCTCATTTATGGCTAACTTAATAAACAGAAAAAAGGAGGCGGAGCCTTTCTATCTTTTTGGAGAAGAGATGGATGCAGATGGGATAGAGAAGAGAGGGAAAGCAGAAAACTAGAAAGCATGCATTATGTTTTCCAACTAAAGTAGTAACAATTTCCATTCTTGTTTGAATTTCATCTTCTGAAGATAGGGAACCATGTGTGGTTTTGGAGAACTATAGCTAAGTGTGTGATGGAAGCAACACAGTGTTTGTCATCACTGAGGTGGAAGAAGTTATTCTGTTAGCTAGTGATCTTTAGCCGAAGTCTGAGCTTTAGTCATCTGCTGTAACTCAAACGGAGTTTCACTTGTTTACACCAGTTAACTTCTGACTGTAGCCTGGTGTGTATGATATGGCTTTTTGTTTTAAGGATCATCGGTGAGTCACATTCTTGCTTAGGTTCGTGCATTCTGTGCAGCCAAGCAATTTAAAGGATTGGTCTGTCAGGGAGGATAAGTGAAAGACAGAGTGGAAAGGAGAGTAGCATTGAGCAGTCACTTTTGAGAATGGCCTGTAGACCAAGGGAGGCAGTTGTTCTCTTTTCCAATAACCTTGTCAGATACTAGGAATTTTTTGGGGGGGTTGGGGGGAGTGGGAAGGCGGAGTGGGGGAATGAAGTGGTAGCTAAACCTTGAAATTAGAATGAGTTTGAAAACTCTAAATGCAGGTATCTGATACAAAGGGAAATCCGATTTAAGAAGTTGAGAGAAATATGCCGAATATGAGAATTAATGTTTCTGCGTGACCAGCCAGTGCAGTGGTAGAGAAGAGGGCAGAAAATGTCCTCTGGTAGGATCACAGAGGAGGTGGACCTGATTAGTGACAGTGGATGCTGTGCCTGCAGTTTTTTCCATCCAAATAATGCTCGAGTGATAGCAGGTGAGGTGGAAAAACCTGTCTTGATGTACAGCCTAATATGTAGACGTGTTCTCACTAGGTGATGTTTACTCCTCTTCTCCAGCTCACTTTAACAGGGGAGAGGCAGATTTTCCACCCACTAACTAATGTTTTTTTTCTTGCATTCATTGGTGAGACATGCTGTTTATACAGCTTTGAAAAAAAATTTCACTGCAGTGAAAGCTTTAAGGAAAACTGCAGCACAAGATTAGGTAGTGACTGAACACCTTGTTTTCTCTATCTGCTAAGGTTATTGCCTCACCTTAGCAAATGGAACTTGTAGCGTAGTGTGGAGGAGGGGAAAACTGATGACCTTTCCCAAAGCCAGAAAGGGAAAGAGCGGCAAAATAGATCAGGTATGGCTGAAGTGAGAGGAAGGCCCACCTGGAAGGTTTGAGTCCCAGCATGGTGGTTAAGTTGTAGATTAATGAGAAGCATTTAGAAGTCATTGGTGGAATATGTTCTTAGAAGCTAAAAAAGAGCAGTCTTTCAGGGCTGCTTCCCCATCTCCATCTCT